TGTATGGTACATAATGCCACGAAGGGTTCCTGAGTCGTGATGCATTGGCAGGCTCAAGATGTCTGGATAAAGTGAAGAGGTCTTCACTCACTGTATGAGTGTGTATATTCACATTTGCCTTGGTTTGAATGTGTATATAATCATGCATGTATCTAATTTTGTGATGAAAAGAGGATTCACTGTATACTTCAGTGTTGGGATTGTGTGCTTAGATTCTAATGTTACATAACTCTAGATTTACATTTTCCCAAATAAAGTGCAGGTATGGATCTTTTCCTGTTTACTATTAGATCATGTCCATTCTGCGTGCATATGTTTCCATAGTGATATTCAGTATATTTTTGTCTTACTTTGTACACTGGAATGCATGTAAAAAGCTTATGTAGAAAAGTGATTGCAAGGCTATCAGAAAAAAGAGGGAAGGAGGTGTGAGTGTGTGTTGAGATGTTTCGTGGGGTGGCACCTGAATTTGAAAGGTCTGGTTTTACATAGTGGTGTGGACTCTCTTTTAGCTGATTGCAGTTACACATAAATCATTGCTTGTCTCCTGCTCCAGAAAACTCAGCAATTCTGCTTCTTGACCTGATTTTAAATCAGCTCGCACTTTGCCGATGGTTCTTCACTCTCTGTGCCACATAAAATAAGGCCAAACTTTGTAGGAATATCACATCACTCAAACAGGAACTTGATTTTCTTCTTTTGCTATCATAACAGCTAGACCAGAACCTCTCAAACAAAGAAACAAGTGGAACTTAAAATTGAATTTCTGGCCTGGAGGAGTTTGCAAGCCTGGCCATGAAATCTGCTTGTTAAATAGTGACGTAACATTTTGTTTCTGGGTCTTGTGACTTGTGCATGTAGAAGGAAACATGAATGCAATGCAATACAGAGAAATCCTCAAAGAAAACCCGCTGCAATCTGTAACTGCCACTGGGAACAGATTTGCCTTTTACCAAGATGAACAAAAAGCTAAAGCTGCATGTGAGTAGCTTTAAAATAAAGTCTAAGGTAATGTACTGCAGCGATCAAGTTAGAACCCAGAACTCAGTCAATTTCAAAATTTGTGGACTTGAAAATTGGTTTTTTATCTTTTACCGACCACTGATCGGCCTGTGGAACCCTAGCACTGCATGGAACTTTCACTGACTGCTAATGCTAACGCTGCCTGAGTGTGAACATGGATTTCTACTGATAGATTAAACCCTTGTCTTTTTTCATTTTCAAAATAAAAACCCTGTCAATGCAGGAACAGTACAAAGCATGGCAGAGCATTACACCTTTATGGTGAAATATAATATCTCTCTACATAAAAACATTCTTACAGTTCAATAATGTAATAAATCCTTAAAAACTTTGATGCTGAAACTTGG